ACAGAAGCATGTCTTTTCTCTCAGGATGTCCATAAATGTACTGGAAGCAGGCCACACCCCTAGGGAAGCTCCCTTTCAATGGATTGGCTGCTTAAAACATATTCATCTGATCTCATCATGGGAATAACCACATCACAACTGCTTAAACCACACAGAATTGTGGTCCAGCCAAGTTAACACACAGCTCCAACTCTCACAATATATAAAGAAATGTGAAGAGACAAACCAAAACCAAAGTGAAACAAAAAAGCTGAATGAAACAGGAGGAGATTTCATGAAATTAAACATGTCACAATAGAACTTTTAAAATACTACATTATAATATACATTTATTGGCATATTATAGTCAAATACTCAGCAAGTAAATTAGGCATGTTGTTGTTGTTGTTGTTGTTATGTGCCATCGAGTCGGACCTGACCCATAGTAACCCCTCCTTGGGTTTCTGAGGCAGTATCACTATGGAAGTAGATTGCTCCATCTTCCTTCCAAGGAGTGGCTGGTGGGTTTGAACCGCCAGCCTTCTGGTTAGCAGTTAAGTGCCTTAGGCACTATGCTACCAGAGGTCCTAAATGTAGGCATAGAGGACTTTAACTAAAAATTAATAAAAGAGAATTGCTAGACATATAGTAGCCGTTAAAGATCATGGAATTTGACTAGTTTTTGTAAACATCCAAAGGCATTCATAAAAATTTTCTCAGTTACCAGCCTATGAAGTAAAACCAAACTCTTACTCCCCACCTTGCCTAAGAACTTAAAAATTTAAGAATGCTCTCTTAGTTCTCTGTTGTTGTTGTTGTTGTTGTTATTTGCCATCGAGTCGGACTCGACTCATAGCGACCCCTCCTTGGGTTTCCGAGGCAGTATCACTATGGAAGTAGATTGCCTCATCTTCCTTCCGAGGAGTGGCTGGTGGGTTTGAACCGCCAGCCTTCTGGTTAGCAGTCAAGTGCCTTAGGCACTACGCTACCAGAACTTAGTTCTCTAGGACTGCCATAATAGAAATGCCACAAGGGGGTGGCCTCAACAAACAGAAATTTATTCTCTCACAGTTTAGGAGGCTAGAAGTCTAAATTCAGGGTGCTGGCTCAAGGGAAGATTTGTGCTCTTTGTCTGTTCTTGGGGGAAGGTCCCTGTCTCTTTTCAGCTTCTGTGCCTTGTCTCCTTAGTGATCTTCACGTGGCATGGCATCTGTCTGCCTCCCCCTCCCCTGCTTACTTATTCTGTTCTTTTTATATCTCAAGGGTGACTGGCTTGAAATATACCCTACACTGATACGGTCTCTTAACATAATAAAGAAAACCCATTCCTAAATGGGATTATAACTATAGGTATATGGGTTAAAATTTACAACATGTAATTTTTGGGGATGCAATGCAATCCATAACAAATACATTTTCTAACAGTAGCATAATAGAAATCAACTGAACAAAACTTGCATGTATGGTGTGCATTTGTATATGTTCTAAATTCAGGAAATTTTATATTTCAGTGAACACTTATTGAATAAAATCTTTATTGACTGAAATTTTGTTTAATGAATAATATTTTCTTGCATTCTATCTATAATTCTTTCAAGATGGTGTTTGGAAATATAATAAATCTCTAAGTACTTGGGAATATATTTACATTATTTACAACTCTTGTGTTTCCCCATTCAGAACACATTATATCTCTCCTTTTATTCAAAACTTCCATTTATCTTCTAGTTAAATGTTTTAATTTAAATAAATTAAATCTAGGATAATTATTCATTCACAAGTATTTTTATGCATTTTTTCTTTGGATACTTAGAAAATGATATGTATTATTTTTCTTAATATGAATTGTTAGGATTTTACAAATTACTTTTTCTCACTTATTCAATAAAATTCTATGTTGCTCAGCAAGATAAAGAATGTGATCTGCCTGTGAATCTTTCAGAAATTTCCTGGAATTCCTTTGTGATCTTGAGCATATTCAATTTTAGTTTCCATTCCACATGTGTTAGAACTGTTATGTAGGTTTTGAAAGCAGGAAATATGCAGTTTAAAAACCAAACCAAACTCACTGCCATGGAGTTGGAACCAACACAAAGCGACCCCTCCTTGGGTTTCTGAGGCAGTATCACTATGGAAGTAGATTGCCCAACCTTCCTTCTGATGCGTAGCTGGTGGGTTTGAACTGCCAGCCTTCTGGTTAGCAGTCAAATGTCTTTTGCTTAAAATATATGCAGTTTTTTTTTTTTTTGTTTGTTTGTTTTACCTAATGCTAACATTTTTAGAACTCTAAATGTGATGGTTAAGGTTATGTGTCAAGTTGGCTGGGCCTGATTTTGAGTGGCTAGGCAGTTGTCGTGATTCCCCACGATGAGACTGACAATCAGCTGCATGGTGGAATCTACTGTGAGCAGCTGAGTAGCTGCCTTGGGGATGTGGTCTGCGCCCAGTATATAAGAAGATTTAGGAATCATCTTCATCTTTTAGCACACTTGAATCCTGCATGTAGCTGGGTCATTGTTCAACAGTGTGCAATTTTGGCACACTTAATGGACTTGAATCAGTGGTCAGCTGTGCACTTTAGTAATACTGGGACTGTGACCTTTTTACTTGTAGATTTGGGTTTGTCAGCCTCAGCAGCCAGCAGCTGCCTGGGTGAAGGAAGCCTCCAGCTTCAGTGGGCCGGGAGCAAGAGACAGAGCTGAAGCCCAAGGTCAACGGCTTTCATCCAGCCTCTAGAGCCTGGCACTTTGAAGGCAGTCTTCTAGCCTCCAAAACTGTAAGAGAATAAACTCCTGTTTGTTAAAGCCATCCCATGTGTGGTATATTTCTGTTGGAGCAACATGGAGTAACTAAAACACTAAAAAAAGCAACATAAATAATTGCAAAAACACATGCATGTTCAGCAACATAGTTTTTGAATTAGTTTATCAGTGGGTCTGAACCAGAAAATATTTTGCCACCTAAGGGCATTTGGCAATGTCTGAGCAATTTCTGATTGTCCCATCTGGGAGGTGGTGCTTCTAGCGGGCCAGAGACGCTGCTAAGTATCCTACAATCACAGGACAGCCCTCAGCAACAAAGAATTCTCCACCTGAAAATATAGAGTGATAAGGCTGAGAAACCTTTTTAGTATTTAACTGGAAACATCTTAAACTCTAGGATGAAGGGAATTATTAAGGAATCACAGTTAAAATAAGTGACTCTCTTAGATAGTCATAACATGGAAGAATATTATTGATGTGAGAAAATGAGAACTACATGTTTCTTAGTGGAAAAATGTTGACCATGGCTCTTTTTGAAAAACTATTTTGGTGATTTCCAAGTTCTGCAAATATCATGACTTTATCTGAATTTTTTAAAAGTACTTTACAATTTTCCTTTCCAGAGTAGTTTTCTGATGCCTGATATTCAGTTACCATGAAAGTTTCATCTACTTTGCAGAAAATACTGGTTCCTGGTGAAATGGAAATTCTCTTTAAGCCTGTATGTGGTATTTGCATCTTAGTCTGTATGGTAACATTGGAGTGAGCTTTTCCTGAAAAGAGAATACAGAATATTTAAGGGCATTGGTTGAAATACTAAACAACAACAACAAACAAACAAAAACCCAACTGCCAATTCTTATAGCCAGAAAAATTAAAATATTCAAATTAATGAACATAATTATAGAATTGTTATGAAACTTATACAACTTTAACTAAATGAGATAGTTAGATTCCAATATTGGAGATCTCAAGATGAAGTCAGGGTTTAATAAATATTGATGGATGATTGGAAAAGGGAACATTTTTCTAATTATTTTAACCTTATATACTGATTGACATTTTCTACAAATAAACAGAATTACTCAGATTAATTGTTAACATTTATGTGACTTGAAATACATCTATAGAAAGTCAGTAAGTACTCCTGGAATAAATGAATGAATGGATGCCAGAAAAAATAAATAGAGAAATGTTATGAAGGGACTGTTCCTAAAAGCCTTTCACGTAAACAGCAGTCAACATAATGTCTTGCATTCATGGATGGAATATGTATGAGTATAAAAACAAAGCAACGATTTTGTAAGATACTTTTGAAATTTATCATGCTCAGAGAAGACCTTAAAATATAATTTAAAAAAATAAAGATATATTTAATGCTATGAGAAAATGGCTTGTGAAACCTACCTTAACACAAACTGGCCTTCAGTATGTTTATGTGGTTGGGTTATAATCTATTGTCATCTTTATTACTATAACTTGAAGTATGCCACATCTGGAATACTAGAAACAAATTTAAGAAAATGTGTTTCTTTGTATCTTTTGTTATTTAAAGTACATTTCTACAATAGCCAAATTCATCAATCATTTCTATGCAGTTTTTTCTTCACATATCTAACCTGTGATTATAAAAGGGAGCTGTGGTGGCATACTGCCTAAGGCATTTGACTACTAACCAGAGGCTGGCAGTTCAAACCCACCAGCCACTCCTTCGAAGGAAGATTGGGCAATCTATTTCCATAGAGATACCATCTCAGAAACCCAAGGAGGGGTCACTATGAGTCAAATCTACTTGATGGCAGTGAGTTTGGTTATAAAACACAACATAAATGATAATGTTGGTATGAAAAAAAAAAAGTCCAACGAAGTTCAACTATTGGTTCTATTGTGTTGTGTATCCTGCAGATATTCCTTTGGCACCCCTACTCTACTATTCAGGTTAATAAATGCAAAGTACTCTCAAATGAACAAGCCAAATCCATGAAACAGGAGCTTTAATTTGCGTTTTAGCAAATTGTACACAGGCATGCAGACTGGAAACATATTCTCCAGGCTGGTGAAGCTTTCATAGAAATAACCATAGAAGTCTCCATGAAGATAGGTCAGATCACAAGGCATTACTCAGGCATTTTAAAGTCTTTTTTAATAATAAAAATAGAGAAGAAAATACCTCTTCCAACAAGAAGTTGATAAATGCCTCATTCTACTGCAGGTAATCTGAAGCAGATGTAACAGAAACAATATTAGGGACCAGCAGATATGCTAAGTGTCACAGAGGGCATCTTCATTTTTATTACAGTGTGTGAGTTGATTTTGGGGGTTTTGGGGAATGGATTTATTGGACTTGTAAACTGCATTGAATGTATCAAGAATAAGAAGTTCTCTATTATCGGCCTCATTCTCACTGGCTTGGCTGTTTCTAGAATTTGTCTGATATGGATAATAGTTTCTGATGGATTTTTAAGGATATTTGCTCAAGATATGTATGTCTCTAGTGACTTACTTGAATGCATACATTACTTATGGATAATTGTCAATCAATCAAGTGTCTGGTTTGCCACCAGCCTCAGCACCTTTTATTTTCTGAAGATAGCAAATTTTTCCCACCATGTTTTTCTCTGGCTAAAGGGTAGACTTAATAGGATTCTTCTCCTTCTACTGGGATTCTTGCTTATTTCATGGTTCCTTACCTTTCCACAAATCGTGAGAATCTTCAATGATCACAAAATCAAGAATGGAAACAGAACCTGCCAGCTCAACAAGCATAAAGGCAAATTCTTTATTGATCAGGTTTCGCTCAACCTGGGAATCATTTTTCTCTTTACTCTATTCTTGATTACCTGTTTCTTGTTAGTCGCTTCCCTTTGGAGACACAACAGGAAGATGCAACTGCATGTCACAGGATTCACAGACCCCAACACAGAAGTTCATATGAAAGCAATGAAAGTTTTGATGTCTTTTGCTGTTCTCTTTATCTTGTATTTTATAGGCATTGCCATAGAAATTTCATATTTTGTTTTGCCAGAGAATAAACTGCTATTTATAATTGGCATGACAACCACAGTCATCTATCCCTGGGGTCACTCATTTATCTTCATTCTAGGAAACAGCAAGCTAAAGCAGGTTTTTTTTGAGGTTACTGCAGTGATTAAAATGCTGCAAGAAAGGGAAACAATCTCAGCACTCCATGGTCAGGCTTGTAGGGAAATAGATGTTCTTCTAGGAGAATAATCTAGTGCAGACATTTTTGAAGATACGTTTCACTTGTACCATCTTCTTGCTTTGGTTTTAATTGTGTTATCAGATATCACTGAAATCTTCCATCACAGTCTTGACTACCTCTCAGGGAATTATACTTTTCATTGACATTGTAATCGTACCCACAAACTCAGTGGCTCATTCAGTTTCCCTACCTTATGACCTCTTCTCACACATCTTCCAGAGGAAAATATCATTTTGAAGACTGTTCACCATAAATAATATGATGGTGGGAATAAGTATATGAAACAAGACTTTTCATTGCACTCTACTATCTTCTCTGAATGAAGCATTGGCACATTTGCAACAACAAGATCTGAAGGAAAAGAAACCGTGACAAAGAATCTTGACCATGACAATGTGAGACAGAGACATGGATGCTTCTTTTGAGTGTACAATTTAATTCTCTGAAGAATTACTTGTATTCTCACTGTTTAAATCCCCATGTTCTCTTTTTAATGGCATGTTTTTGATATAGTAACGATAGTAATAGTAGCAGTAGATGTAGTTTTGTGAGAAATTGCTTAGGAAAAAGACTATATCAGGAAGAAAAGATGAGAAACGCTTATGAATTAAATCTTTAGTCTGCAGATCCAGTGCTTTGAGATAAAACAAAGGTCGTGAATCAATTGGAATTGGGTAACTCTTCTAGAAGTAAAGATCCAAAGGATTTGACATTGTCACTAAGATTATGTTAAGGGACATAAGAATCTCAGTAGAATTATTGTGAAGTATGAATTACTCTACTCTATGGCTTTGCATGCATTTATATTCTAGAATGTGAACTTGGTGACTTATTTTG